AGCGCTAACAACAACACCACCATGCAGCCCGCCCATTTCATTGTCTTCCTGATTTCCTCACCAACAAGTCTGGGGCAGTGTGGCCACCCAGTAAACTGATAGTAGAAGATGATGTGAACTTCTCGTATGGAAGCATTTGATACACAAGTCAGAAAGAGTGGTTGTTGACGTTAATGCAGGCAGGAAATCAGAATCCAAAAAAAAAAAAAAAACAGATGTGCAAAGTAAAAACCTCCTAACAACTGTATCGTTTAAAGCCATGCATCATCAACCCACGTTGTGTTTTTGCTATACTCTCAGAGTAAAGCAACTGCTCTTTCACATTTGTTTTGTCTGGCATGCAATGTGTTTGAATGTGTGTGTGTGTGTGTGTATGCGTGGGAGTGTGATGGCGGTATTTCTCATGGCGGTGCTTCAGAGCAGGCTCTGCTCGGACTCTCTGGTGGGACATTAACCTGCTCAGCGTATCCTTCCTGCGTCTGCTCAAACAGGCCGTGCACACAGACGTGTATCTGCTCGTAACAAACGGAAAGGAAGGGCTCTTTGTGTGGAGGCGTACGAGCATGTGTGGATATGTGCATGTGTGCGTGTCACTCCATGTTGCTGCAACCTTTCACCTCCGCTGTTCTATTATACAAATCAGGCAGGCATTTCACATCTACTTTAACAAGTAGCTCATTGCAGATATGAGAGAAACCTCAGATAAAGTTTCTGCCAAAAGGAAGTTAAAGCAAAGACGCGGCTGAAAAACACAAATATTATGCTTTAAAATCTTTGAATCAGCCAGATTATCTTGAAGAAGTTTAAGAGCAGTGAGAGAACAAACTGTTTCCAAAAAATATGATCCCCTTGTGCAGGCTCGGTTCTGATTTAAGGTGCATCTGAGATTTAAAAGGGGTTCAACTACAGTGACCAGCAACAGCAATGAAAAAGAGCGTTCATGTTATTGGTCCCGGTGTCCAGCATGTGGTCACCACTGAACAGACAGGTCACAATCTGAGTCACTGTTGTCATTTGAAAGCCTTTATCACTTATTGTAAAAGAAACTATCTTTATTTTTTTGCTTTCAATTCAATTGAGGGGGCAGAGATTTAAAATGAGGGTACAATGCATCCTTTCGCACCCTCATAAAACCAGGCCTGAGTTTGTGTCCCTTTCTTTCTGTTTTAAAGCTCCATCGTGAAGATGTTGATGGACATTTTTTAACAAATACTTTAATTGTTTTCTAAGCCGCTTGCTTCCCAGCTGCACAGGGGGCCCTGTTCAGGTTAGGTACACATTGTGCATCTAAATTCAAACAATGACAGCAATTTTACCAAAAGAGAAAAAAATATTCATTAATTCACCGCTGCATGTATCAAAATCGAATCCCCTCTTCTTAAAATTGTATCTTTTTGCAGTGTTACTGTAATTAAACGTAACTATTCAGCCAGTCATGTCCGACTGTGTGTAGCCATGTCAGGATCTGCACAACATTCAGGATGTCAGAAAAGAGAGGAGGCTTATTCGACCCACACAGGCACCTGTTGAAAAGCTTTTCCAATCAGCTCCAAATGCTAATCGAAGAGGGCATATGCTTGCCAGGAGGCTACTGCAAACAATCCAACATGCATGTATCGATATTTTAAAATGATATCTGCAGAGTGCCCTTTCACTTGGCCTTTCAAGAGCTCAGCCATGTCTGTTGGCGGCCTGGTCCTCCTCCCACTCCGTCTCTGCAGCCAGATTAAAACAAAAAAAGGATCCAGGATTATTTTTCCGGTACAGTTCAGTCGGGGTCTGGTGGACTGTAGCAGCCATATGGAGCGGGAGCTCTGGAAACATCCTATTACAGGTCGTATATCAAACGGCCTGACAGCAGCCATTCTGCACTGTTTTCATTTCAATCACGAGCGCAGCTGTGCAGGAGAGCAGGAGGCTCTGCCATGTTAACCCAATGAGGGCTGGAGTACAGCCACCACGGGGGGGGGGGGGGGGGATGTTGAATGTTGAATGTGTGTACTTGATGTCTACACTCCATCAACACAACAGGAAGTGACTTCTTGTAGAGTTGACCAGTGTTGTTGGAGATCCTTACAAATACTTGATGTTGGTGTTTTTTAGATTGTTAGGCTTCAAACGATTTCTCTCTGTGTCGGCATCAAACAGGGGCGGGCAACTGGCGGCCCGGGGGCCACATGTGACCCCCATCAACCCTAAAGCGTGGCCCTCAGGTCAATTTTTACATATCAATTCATTGGAAACATGAAGAAAACATGACAAAATTAGCCATGAAATCATGAAAACCAGAAATATGTCCATAATAATATTAGATCACTGGTATATGTTGGGTTAAATTTGAGACATAATTGACTGTAATTGTTTTTTTTTATGCTACAATTTGGCCTTGCAGTGAGAATTAAATGAATGTGGCCCTTGCTGTGACCAAAGTTGCCCTTCCCTGTTGTTCAGTTTGGTTTTAGAAATGTTGGACAGCTTAGCTTGAGCTCTGTGTTTTGACTGTTTTAAAACTGACTGGTACTAACAGACTTTTTTCTCCTGAGTGAATAAAGTCTCCACAAAGAAGCAGAACAAATCTCCAAAGGCCCCATGTTTGTGGCTTCTTGTGTCACTGCCCTTAACAAAAGTACCCTCTGCTAAACAAAGTGAGTGTGAGCTGATCTGCTGAGATGCTGCTGCCGGCCGGTCGCAGTGCTTATTTGTAGACGATCAAACCCCGCTTCCTTCCACCGTGTAATCTGTCCCACATGGACTCCGACAGAGTCCTTAAAATATGAAGCGTGGTGGGGTTCACGAGGACACATTAGTGCCCTCCTTTTGTTTCGACATGCGGCTTTGATAGAAACTTCCGTCATGTTTTTGACTGTTCGCTGAAATGTGATTTGTGACGTTCTTCAAATCCATTCAGTCCTCGTCCGTCTCCCTCATGGACACGACGCAAAGCCATTTATTTGTAATCTTTGGATGAGGAGTGACATGCGGGGAAAGGAGCTGCAGGTCAGATCTGAACCCTGTTTTTGTTTACAGTCTTCTTTCTGGGTGTCGTCTAGCCCCGCCCCTTTTACTTCCAACATCATCACATTGGTCGTGATGATCGTTCAGGTGCCTCTGTGGATGCAGGGCACAAGTGTATAGCTCTGTGATCACTGAATTTGATTTAAAATGTAAAAGTCTTACTTTATTGATGATATTTGGACGATTAAAGCTCCTGTGAGGAGTTTTGAGCTGTTCATGAAAAGACTGAAATTAATTCTGATGCCTCTTTATGAGCTGTATAAAATTCAAACAAGACCGCCAAAATAAAGTGTGACTTTTTCTATATTGTTCATTTTTTTTTAGTGTTTTGATGTAAGTGATGATGAAAGTGACTAACATGATGCAGAAACAGCCTCGGTTTAGAGTTTTTACGGCAAAGATTTCTGATGAGCGATGCAAAAGAAAGAAGATCAGGTTTAGTGTGAGACAAGAATCCCTAAAAATCAGAGAAGACATCAGAGACAGCACTTTGACTCCTTTGTTTCATCTTTCATTCGGCTTTTTTATGGTCTCTGTGCGGAGGTCGTTTTCAGAGCAGGTAGAGAGAGAGAGCTTCGTGTTTTCTCTCTCTCTCTCTCTCTCTCTCTCTCTCTCTCTCTCTCTCTCTCTCTCTCTCTCTCTCTCTCTCTCTCTCTCAGAGGAAAACAGCTGCTGGGTCCACAAGAAAACGCTGCTTTTTTTCCCATCAGGCCGTTGATGGACAGCAGTCCGGCTTTTGGCTCGGGCTGCGATGTAGGATGCAGTTTATGGTCCAGAACGCAGCGAGGGGTGGAGGAGGCCCGGCTGTTCCTGGCTGACATACCTCCCCCCCTCCTCCTCCTCTCCTCTTTTCTCCGAATAGTGAGGTCCCCCATGACTGTGACCTTACGACCCCGTCGTGAGAGCGTCAGGGGAGGAGACCTCTAAGCTCGCTCTCTACATCGTTCCTCGATGTTTTCTTTCAATTAGAATTCACTTCCACTGTTTGTCTTTCTGCTCGCTGCTCGTAAATGATACCTGTCACACTTTCTAGTTTTTTGTCACGGGCTTCTTTGGGGGATCAAGTGATCCAGGATAACATTTTGCTGTCTACACTTTTCAGCCTTTTCCAGAGGGAGTAGGACTAAGGGCCTGTGTCCACAGACCGCCTCCAGTCACAACCTCCAGTTCAGAGCGCTTCTCACAGGCGCTCAGTGTTGCTATAGGTTATAAAAGTCCACTTCTGCTTCCCTCGCTAGTGTCCGTTAGGTGTGATGAAGACAGCTCCATGTGGGTAATGTTTGCTTTAATTCAAAGAAAACGTGGAAACAATGTAAGGGAGTCATGTCCTGACCTCATCAGCAGCAGCTCTACACCTGGAGACTGCTCCCTCAAAAAGTCAAATCAGAGTAGCTTCTTATTTTATATTTTATGCACCAAATGCTGAATTATTGTTTAGTGGAGAAATGGTCAGATTCTCTTCTTGTTCTTATCGTAATTGTTGGTGGATTTTAGATCGGAGAAAAAAAAAAACCTGCCAAAACATCGACTGGTTCATTATTTTACTGTACTGAACAATATGAAGCCATAAGAAAGGATATGATACAATAAGACGCGGAATAAAATAAAAGTGTGGAAAAAATGAAGCCAGTGCAGAAGAGGATAGAGACTGGCTGCAGAAGCACAGGAAGTCACATTTAACAGAGAAGCAAACAGCAATAAAAACCACAAACTCTTCTGCTGTATTTCACGTGATGCACAAGATCTGAATCAATCACAACACAAAGAGGACTGTGACTGCATTAATGACACGTTTCTCTTCAAATTCAAGCTGACAGCTCATTCAGACAAATCAACTGAGCTTCATCATTTTCAGTTTATTCATATCTATAAACGGTCTCAAGCTCTGTTATGGAGGCCACAGAACATAAAGCCTCTGATGACTGACTCTCTGTCTCTCTCTCTCTCTCTCTCTCGGTCTCTCTCTCTCTCTCTGTGTTCTGCAGGCCTTTGTCTCCCTCTCTCTGCTGTACTGGGCTCTGCAGAGCTTCTCCCAGCTGCTCAGCATCAAGAACAAAGCCGACTGAGCCCACGAGAGGAGACGCACAGACGGATGTTCAGGAGCATTTTCATCCTTTTTAAAAGTCATAATTGTTTACGTAATTGCATATTTTACACATCTTAATCAAGTTTTTAACGATGTGTCTTTACGTGTCATCCATTAACCTCTGCTGTATTTTTATTGGAGAAGCGAAGACTCGAGCTTCTGCATGATTCTCTTTTTACTTGAATGTTAATGTTTAAAGTCTGTCTATGACGAAAAGCTTCATGACAAAAACAGAACTTCCACATTTCTGTCAGACACCACACTCGCTTCTTCCTAAATGTCTCTGGTGCTGTGAGGACAAAGGTGCTACTGTGATAATCAACTCACTAATCATTACGTGTAATGCCTTTACTATGCAACGTATACCTCTCATAAAGCAGATTCTGCTCACTCTGATTAATCCTAGTTTGACTTGCACAACACTGTACAGTTCATTGTTTTCCTCTTCTGACTGCAATAAAACCCGCCTCAACCCGTGTGTGTGTGTGTGTTTGAGATTCAGATATTTTTACATCATAACTAATGTTGTTTTTGTTGCTGTTGTTGGTATTAAGTGTAAGGATACACAACGCTGTGCATTGTGTTGGCTTCCCATACAAACAGGAAGCAGCAACAGCCGTCAGGTTTTTCGAATTAAATGTTTTAAACTGAAGTGTAAGAATTGTACTTTTGATCATATAGAAGGAGCTGCTCCATCTCATCTGTACGTCGTCATGGAGACCATTTGTGGGCCCTTCTCTCTTTAAAGTGTCCAACCATCTTTCCTGATCAGTGACGATGATTGGCGCCGTCAGTCCGATATCCGATGCATACATTACTTCAACATCAGACCAGATACCGATATAAGATCGGACCAAAATAACCCAAACAGGATGTAATGAATGGAGCAGGCAAAAGACGGAGAGGATGGACTACATCATCATTGGGGGGTTTGTAGACGGACTAGGGACACATGTTAGAGTTAGAGAAACTTGGTGAAGTGGATTTAGTATAATATGTGACCTTTAAATCAGCTTAAATTCTGAGTTTAGTTCAATAATTAAGCTTTTCTATTTTATATTGTTTATGAAAATATATATTTTTGGTCCAATAAGTTCAGACTAAAGCTGTGTTAAATTCTAAGTCATAATATTTGTCTCATAGAAATAATCCTACATTAAGTGCTAATGCAGCCCTCTGGCAGTGAGAATACAATTATTTAGGGCCCTCTTGGTAACCACAGTCGCTGCCCTGGAGGACGAGCAGTTTGTGGTTAATTCAGATTCTTAATATGAATTCTCCCTGGGAAACATCAGATGTTGTGTGGGAGTAAAATTAAATCCACAGCAGATGGTGCTGTTATCCCTCCAACAAAACGTCTCCTGTTGCTCCTGCGCTCTACTAAAGCAATGCATCAAATTAAAAATAAAAAACAGAGAACAGAACTATGGTTGAGCTGCAGCGAAGGAAACGAGTACAAAAATAGAAGAAAATCTGAGATTCATGTTTAGAAATGTGAAAACCATAAATTCAGGTGTTTGTCACAATATGAGGAAAAAGACAACGCTTCAGAATGTTTTTTCCTAAAGACGTTTTGATGCTTCACTTCTCAATATTTTATGATGTTAAAGGGTTAATGGATTTGAGATTGTGCATCACTTTTCTGTTCTTCTGACTACTCAAAGCGTTTTTACCCTGCAGGTCACACCTACACATTCACACACTGATGGTAGAGGCTGCTGTGTAAAGTGACCATCAGTATTAACTCATCCATTCATACACATTCACACACCACTGATGAAGCAGCAGGAGCAACTTGGGGTAGCAGGAGCAACCGGAATTGATGCTTCATCAGCCTGACATGTCCGGGTAAAAATTTTATTTAAAGATGTTAAAAGCAAAATCGCCTTTGAATTGAATGTTGAGTGTCTTTACATTAGAAGCCTATATATTTTTATTCTTAACTTGTCCATGTTCAAATACGGGTGAAAGGATGAAGTGAAAAAAAGGTTTCCAGTCCCATCCCTTTTTTTCTTTGAAGCTTAATAAATTAATTCTTAAAGGCCCAAACGTTCAAAATAAAATCAAAGAATGCAGATAACAAGCTGAGTAACAAAAGTGACAACAAAGAAAATGTAATTAAAAATGTGGATTTTCTGTAATGGTGATGATGACTGAAGAGTGAGATCATGTAAATAACTGTGAATTAAATGCAAACAGGAGGAGCAGAAGCATCCGTGTGAACTCTCATCATGCGTCGTATTAACAGGTCTGCAGATGGTACGACTCGGCTCGACATGTGTGCAGATCATGTGTGTGTTATAGGTTCATTAATATACCAGATATTATCAAATGTGTTCAGCAAACAGCTGCAGGTAACATCTGTTAGAGCAGACTACAGAATCAGCTCATTAGGACGTTTAGATGGTTCTCCTTTAACGCATTTGAGTGTTTTGTAAATTTGTCGTTGTCTTTAAGGTTCACATATTCTGAATAATCTCTTCACCATGTTTCTCTAACTCTAACATGTGTCTCTAGTCTGTCTACAAACCCCCCAATGATGAGAAAAATGCATCTTCTCCGTCTTTTGCCTGCTCCACTTTTCAGAAAATGTGTGCTCAAACAGGCCGTTTGGAGATTTTCCCTTCATGACATCACAAAGGGCAGTAACCCCTCCCCCAGGTGGGTGACACTCCCACAGCTAGGTGTTTGTTCTGCCCTCTAAGTCTGCCTTCTCACTGTAAACAATAGGACATGGAGCGAGAAAGCCCGAGACACCCAAACACTTCCAGAGAGGGGGCGTGGTCAGACACAGCTCATTTACATTTAAAGGTACAGACACAGAAACAGCCTGTTCTGAGCAGGGCTGAAATAGAGGGGTTTATAGGCATGATCAAATACAGGATCGGAGTGGATTTAGAACAAGAAACTTCACAGACATGTTTTGAGGAGCTCTGAGACTTATTTACACTGGTTGAAGAGGAAGAGAATATGTGACCTTTAAAAGACAAAGACATTTCCAAATACAATTGAGCGCCTTCATTTATACTAAGTACCGCTTTTCCAATTAAGGGTCACAGGGGGGCTTATTTTCAAGATACTCCTGACTAGAAATTACAGGCTGGGATTTGAGTTTGAAGAATTTAAATAAAGATGTAGAGAAAAAAAGGATGGAAAAACTGATCAGGGTGTGGCCAGATGAACAAGCAAACATTTGAACCCATGAGGAGATCCTGAGGAGATGCGTAAGGAGACTTTTAAAAAATATTTTTGACCGCGGTGAAAGAGGCTGAAGATGCCTGTTTGATAATGTTTTGAGAACAGGTCTGTTGAGGAGGATTTAGGAATGTGGAGAGAAGTTAAATCCAGGAGATGGAAGAAGTAGCTCCTAAGCATTCATACACTTTTATTATTCAGGTTTTAATTTTAGTTTTCAGAGAAACTGAAACTTTAGCGCAGTAAACGGCAGAGTGAGCATGTGGCATCTGAAAATGGAAGCTAAGAAAAGGTCAGGATTGTTTGATTTAAACACACATATGAAGGGAAATGGAGTTAAAGTTGGACTTTTTTTTAACATGCTCATCCTCTTCTACCAGCAGAGAGCAGCCCTGAACTTCATGAATGTGAGTGTCATTGAAATAAAAGATAAGCTAGTGCTGCAAGCAGCTAGCTAGCAGCAGCTCTTCGCTAACTGAGACAGATGCTGTTTGTTTATTGTCCTGCTGACAGTTGAGTGTTGTTGCCTCCAGCTTGTTTTTCTGGATCAAAAAAATGTGTTCCCTTCTCAGTAAAGTTCAGTTTTTGTTTTACCTTTCAATGCATGAAAACCGTAAGTCATGTTTTTGAAAAAATAAGAGGATGCCCTTTAAACCCTGTGCATCAGTATGTGCAGATACTACATGTTTGTATGTGCCAACTCATGTGCAGTCAGGCTACGTGCAATCACATCGTGCATTTTACATCACTACTTCATAATCATGTGCAATACTGTGGCACATTATGCACGTTAACTGGGAAGGTCTTTTTTTTATCTTGGTTTGTTTTTTTGACTCCAAAGGATTGTAAGATCTTCCAAGATTCCTTAAAGCTGCTCGGGTCTCATATTATTATATTAGGCATAGGTGATCGAACACATCAGGTCCCTGTTTGTTGATACCTGCAGTCCATTCAGTTTAAAATGACAGCGATAACCCTGACCGGGTGAGGTTTCTAAAAAAAATATCCTTTGGTGAAGATGAAGAGCACTGCTTGTATCTCTGCTTCTTAATGATCTGCTGGTTTATTGAAGCGATCCACCAGCGGCTGACGTATTGATCCCGCTGCAGAGGGATACGGCCTTCGACTTCACATAAAATCTTGCTAATAGGCGGTGAGGGGATTCAGCCCAGGGTCTCGCTTAATGGACACGAGGAAATGTCGCTGAAGAAAGGCGATCAATGAGGCGGTCGATGTGAATTAGATCTAACCGGGATCGCTCTGATGTAAGAGGCAGCAAAAACCAACCAACAGATGCTTCATCCTCAGCAGTCACATTTTAACAGACTCTGGATTATTTATGTGACTCATTGAATTTGTTAAATCCGTCAGTATTTTAATTCATAATCAGTCTGACGTTAATGATGCCTGTTGACATCTTCAAGGAGGAAACACAAACTGAAATCTTAATGTTTTGATTTGTGAAGTTCAGTTTTAGCAGAAAATATCTGAATTTGCAATAAATACAATAAATCTTTCAGAGCATCTTTATCAAAAATATTGTGTAATCATCCCATGAAATAAAGATCCCCTCTCCTCATGTTCACCTTTCATGTTGCCAGTCTGTGAATTGAGTAGCTTTACATGATTTCCAGCTAAAAATAAACTCCTTATTTATTTTTTATACTGGCGTCAGTAAAAACCGTGAATTTCAGCCTTTGCTGAAACACTTTGTTTCAGCTGCTGTATCTTCCTCCCCCCACTTTTTTCTGATTGACCAGCTCTCTGGAAGCCTTCCAGAGGGGCAGAACACTGCAGGGCTTCCAGGCTGCCGGGGGAGGGCTGCTCTCCAGTACTAGGAGAAGAGAGCATTGTTCTTTAACTGGGGCTCTTGTTGTACATAAGTGCTCAAAACATAGGAGAGAGCTTTACACCAGCAAAAAACATTTTACTCGTCTATATCTCTCTTGATAAATGGCAGATGAAAAAAGACGTGAATGTGATTTGCTCCCTTGGGAGCCACAGAATGTTCCAGTGACTCATGCTTTGTTAATGTAGTTCAACGCTCTGCACCAACTGTCTGCAGGGGACAGAGGGGACTCCCACTACACAAGCACACACGCATGAATGCACAAACACAGGCACAAGCAAACACACAATAGAGATGTTCATGCAGTAAGGTCTTTAGCATGGCCTTTCATTCAACAGCTGACTTAAGCAGAGGATGGTGTAGATGATGCACACTGTCATATCTATCATGCAAAATTGGGACATATGTGAGCAAACAAAGGTGTTTAAAGGGAA